GTCGTTTCTCAAATGTAACGCTATACAAGATACTTAACCATCCATCAGCATTTACTGCGATATTTAATAAAGATGACATGGCAGAATATGCACTATAAAGCGTGTAGAATGTACATCTATTTAGTCCGTGGATTGATATCTCCTAATGTAAACACTGTATTGTCCGAGCGGAACTGATAACAGATTAATAGGGACTATTTACTTTTGTCATTTTGGTATCAGTGTTAAATCTACAGGAAAAGATGTCTAGACGAATGTTGATTTAAAATACCTTTTAGCAAACAAAAAATACCGTTAGGCAATAGCGTTAGAAACAACGCTAATCATGTCATCAGGGTCATAGATAAGGGTTACACAAGAACATGTAGTCTGTCTGCTCCTCTTTAGGTTATTCTGTATGAATACATTTCGTTACCGATAAGCAAATATCCTTCAGAATTTTTTAAAATATGCTGGCATTAAAACCTTCCTGTGCTAATTTACAAGTAAATTTCACATACCAAATTTCGAAGCTTCTTACGTACTGGACCACTAGATCAGAGATATAAATTAGTAATTAAGAATTTCAGTTTCAACGTGTGACGCAAATATGGTATCAAAGTGTTGTTGTTTTTTTTTTTACATTTTCTTATTTTTTATTAACTGTCGCAATCTGTTTTCATTCAATCATTAAATTTTTCTGCAAAATCAGCACTTTCACGTATATTTTTTTAAATACGGTCCCATTTCCGGATCTGAAACGATAACTTACTCGCACGGATTTTCTGCATTAAGTATGAAAATAAACTAGCTAATTGGTTTCTATACTGTTACATATATGATAGTTTAATGAATGCATACCTCGGACAGCAGTCAGTTACCTCTACAGGAAGTCACACACAGACACCAATAACAGATAGCAAGGTGTGCACATTTTTAGGATGATTGAAAGGCACGATGCACCTTAATTTCAACAGAACAGTCACGCCTATGCCATCTTAACTAATGCTTCTTCACTCACGTAAGTTCTGCCCAAAACATACATGTGACATTCGTTTACCTATCTAGTCAAGGTAAATTGTAAATAATAATGAATTGCCCTATCGGGAGGAGTTAATGAAAACTTTAATAAATAATGCTTCATTTCACACACACATGATTTCTGACTGCATATTTTTACTTTTAAACGTTCAATACTTACACGTTCAATACAGTCAAGCAAAACAAATTTCTACCAACCTTTTAACGGTAATTCTAATGCATTTCAAAACGTCTCGTATGGCAAAATTCTCTTAAATCTGGATTCATTTATGCAAGTTTTGAAGATCGCTCCACTAGAACGGAACTTTCATTTGAATATATATATATATATATATAGAAAAAATAAAATTAACGACCGACTAAAAAACTAGCTGCTTTCACCCTTCACAGGGCTCTTCAGGTTTATTCAAAAGAGAACAACGTCGTGACGTCACAATTACATGTCATCACACTACAATAGTAACGTGACGTCACGAAGTACACAAGATTGGTGGACAATTTGGCGTAAAAAATTGTCTGATGAAAATAGTTGATACAAAGGTAATACATTGAATTTATCTCCAGCACATTCATGAATATGTTTGTTAACATGAAGATTTCGTAAAGAATCACTATTTTAAGAGAAACGAAAGAAGACCAACTAATAAAAATATTAAAACCGAGTCTCAACAGGCCACAATAAAATTTTACGCCAAATTGTCCACCAATCTTGTGTACTTCGTGACGTCACGTTACTATTGTAGTGTGATGACATGTAATTGTGACGTCACGACGTTGTTCTCTTTTGAATAAACCTGAAGAGCCCTGTGAAGGGTGAAAGCAGCTAGTTTTTTAGTCGGTCGTTAATTTTATTTTTTCTATATTTACTTCCTTCACATGGACATTTAATCACTTTTTATTATATATATATATATATATATACATGAAAATGAACAGTTCATTGTCAACAAATACATAAATATGCAAAAAGTTAACATATATATGCACAAAACCCCCAGTTATAAACCTGTTTGTAGAGCACATAAGTGAACTGCTAACTCTATTCAGAAGCGCGTAAGTGTGTAATGGTACATGGTAACACATTGTTTAAATTTCCATACAGAGTTATGCAGAGGTTTCGTCCATACAATATGAATGAGAATTCCTCACATTATATATTATGTTAATTAAGAAGAAGGCTTTGCACAAAGTGCATAATAGGCGTTCCGTCTTACATATCACTCGGTATTTGTGGACATTTTCTGCTTTTATGTGGCATATTGAAATAAAACATAGAATAGTTACGGTGGCCGATAGGTGTCATAATTGTAGAAATGTACGTCACTGCTGATGAAAGATAATCTTTTGTGTAAGCTATATGCCACAGCCAATGAAAATCAAGATATGGTGTAAGTGACACGACATAGCCGATAACAATGGAGATAATGTGTCAACTGTATGATACAGCTCATAACAATGAACATATTATGTAAGTCATAAGACACAGATAATGACCTTGAAGATATTGTGTTAATTGTAGGAACAGTTAATGATATTTAAAATATTGTGGAAGTTTTATGACAGCTGATGACAATAAATGTGAATTGTATGGTGTATGACACAGCTAATAACATTGAAGTTTTTGTGTAAAGTGTAAAACACAGCTAGTGACAATGAAGATATTGAGTAATCTATACAACACAGCTAATGTCAATGAAGATATTGTAAATGCTTTTACATATCGAAGTTTGACAACATCGCTCTTGAGCCACATTTTTAATAGTTTGCAGCATGAGATTATTTTACTTTATTTTTTGTTTGCCTCTCCTCTGTTTATAGATAAGATTTACAAGAGTTTCTATGTTAGCCTTTCATTCGTTCATTTTTTGCCCTACTTTATTGATGTTAGAATTACGGTTTTGTTAAGACATCGCTATTTTCTGGTTGTTTCTTTCCCTACCTGTTTGTAAGTATTCAAGTTGTTCAGATTTAGATCTTTCTGGGGTGATAGACTGAATGGTAGTATGTCTGGTACGCATATTTATCTGCAGCATGGACGTCTAGATTACTCCGTTATTCCAGACAGGCTGTTGTTTGAATACAGAATTAACGCTTCGTGAATCTAGATATATGTTATGTTTTATTGTTTCTATTTATTTTCTTACTTAAAGTATGAACTTTTTTTTACCGTTAAAGAAATGTTTCTTCTGTATGAGGTTTTTGCTTAAATGTAACAGTGTGTCCTAAATTGTAATCTTAAGAGTCTTTAGTGGTTTCATTTAAAGAAATATTTCCAATCATTTGTTACTGTTCCTAACGAAAGTTGCCTTTTTTTTTACTTCTGTAAATGGGTAATTTGCCCTTTTTTACCCATGGTCTTCTAGCACTTTTAAAATTATTTGTTTGCATTCATATGGGTGAAATTCTCGAATGTCTAACCCTCTGCTACCAGTAAGACTTGGTCAAAAAATTGAAGATTACCACCTATTGGATTTATATTTCTTTAACGTAACCTTACGGTAGAGGATGATACTATTAGCAAGTAAGCTTGTGTTTGGCGTCGTCTTGGAATGAAATCCATCGCGTTATGTTCCTTGTTTAGAATATATATACTTCGTCAGCAGTTTGTAGGATTCATGATGTATCAAGTGATGGTCGAGAGCTTCAGCGCGGTTGTTTATATATACACACATTGTGTTGTTTACTTTGTAATTATCATCAGTCTTCTAGACACCAAACAGTGACATTGTTGTATCAATGCATACAGAGTGCAGACTTTCAACATACCTGGAATACTTAACCTAGGTATTGTATGAACAAGAATGATGAGTGCCAAGTCTGAGCTCATGTATAATTATCAAAGACGTTTTATCGCGTTATATTATTACTTGTCTGGTAGTGTTTCTATTGGTATTTCAATACCAAGCATATATGATAGTGGTAAGATATGTGAACCATACATAATATACATAGAAGTCAAAAGATCGCATTCGCATGAAACCGAATACATCTGTAATGCATCTTTAAAAAAACACATTTTGAAATGAATCTCCCCAAGGTAGAATGTTCCTTGATTGATTGGCTGATACGTGGTTGTCGGCTTTAATGTAAATATTCAAACGATGTTAAAAAACAATAAACAGTAATTCACAAGGTCGTCAAAACAAGTCAACGTGTAAAATACTTTTACCTACTGTTAGAATATAATTTCGTTCTATTTTATGACTGAAACCTACTTTAGGTCAAGTCATACTAATATGACTGTGACTTAATTTTATAGCATCAAGTCGTGCTATTACATGACTATAACCTTATTTTATAGCATCAAGTCGTGCTATTACATGACTATAACCTTATTTTATAGCATCAAGTCGTGCTATTACATGACTATAACCTTATTTTATAGCATCAAGTCGTGCTATTACATGACTATAACCTTATTTTATAGCATCAAGTCGTGCTATTACATGACTATAACCTTATTTTATAGCATCAAGTCGTGCTATTACATGACTATAACCTTATTTTATAGCATCAAGTCGTGCTATTACATGACTATAACCTTATTTTATAGCATCAAGTCGTGCTATTACATGACTATAACCTTATTTTATAGCATCAAGTCGTGCTATTACATGACTATAACCTTATTTTATAGCATCAAGTCGTGCTATTACATGACTATAACCTTATTTTATAGCATCAAGTCGTACTTATAATATGACTGTGACCTACTGTTATAATAGCAAGTCCTATCATAACTTTAATTCGTTCTATCATATGACTGTTACCTACTTTCTTTAGTATCAAGTCGTACTATTAGGATTGTGATCTACTATTACAACATTATTATAAGGTTATAACATACAGCTATATTATTTACTTGTACTATAATGGCATTGTGAACTACAGGGACATGTATCGCATTAAGTCGTACTATTTTAACATTGTGTCCTTCTGTTATAGAAATGTGTATTGTTATATCATTGTTTTCGTTTTAGAGCTGGGATAGGGAAGCTGCTCGCGCCGCCAGGAAGTGGGGCCGGATGTGCAACTATGACCGCCCGAGGAACGATGGGTACGGATACAATATCTTCTACAACAGGCATGACGTTAGTGAACCTACCAGTGAAGTTACCATGGATGCGCTAGGAGTGTGGTCAAGGGAAAAGATCGTCTTCAATCCACTGCAGAGTTGTGTACATACCAGGTCATGCGACTATCTAAAGGTGCAGTTACTGTCTGATTAGATTAGTGATATCAATACAAAATATGTATGTTTTCATGTAAAAGCATTAGAAGTATTAATACCAAATATCGTACACTACATTTTTTTTCAGATTTCAGATGACCCCGATGCTGAGAGAGGTTATGCTTAATGTATGATGTGATTCTAGTTTTGAAGCTATGTTTTCCCTGTCATTAATCCAGATGGTTACAGCCAATGTGGAGAGTGTTGGATGTGCCGTCATTACATGTCCGGTCCTCAGAATGGGCAAGTCTCGACAGGAACGTGATGTCAACTTCGTCCTGTGTTTCTATACGCCATTGTACGTATGACATCTTGAAGATTTATATGAACTTCTGTCCTAGTTTCGACGGATTCAGCCTTCTGTGTTATTATTGGGTTCATTTTAAATTTCCCTTTGTCTTGCTGTATCCTCTTTACAATTGTATCCTTGACACTGTTGTGTATTTGATTGTGGTGTTAAGCTGTAGTTTAAAAATCTATCTTTTTGTGTTGAGAGTGTAGTATAGTGTGTCTTTATGTGGTGACGCTGGTGTGCATTTTTCTATCTTGTGTGTTGACGATGTGCTATAGTTTGTCCTAGTATGTGTATACTGTGATATTGTTTATCCTTCTTTCTTGGCGTTGTGCTATAGTTTGTCCTAGTATGTGTATACTGTGATATTTTTTGTCCTTCTTTCTTGACGTTTTGCTATAGTTTGTCCTTGTATGTGTATACTGTGATATATTTTGTCCTTCTTTCTTGACGTTGTGGTTTAGTTTGTCCTTGTATGTGTATACCGTGATATTGTTTATCCTTCTTTCTTGGCGTTGTGCTATAGTTTGTCCTAGTATGTGTATACTGTGATATATTTTGTCCTTCTTTCTTGACGTTTTGCTATAGTTTGTCCTTGTATGTGTATACTGTGATATATTTTGTCCTTTCTTGACGTTGTGGTTTAGTTTGTCCTTGTATGTGTATACCTTGATATTTTTTGTCCTTCTTTCTTGACGTTGTGCTATAGTTTGTCCTAGTATGTGTATATTATGATATATTTTGTCCTTCTTTCTTGACGTTGTGCTATAGTTTGTCCTTGTATGTGTTTACTGGGATATATTTTGTCCTTTCTTGACGTTGTGCTATAGTTTGTCCTAGTATGTGTGTACTGTGATATATTTTGTCCTTCTTTCTTGACGTTGTGCTATAGGTTGTCCTAGTATGTGTATACTGTGATATATCTTGTCCTTCTTTCTTGACGTTGTGCTATAGGTTGTCCTTGTATATGTGTACTGTGATATATTTTGTCCTTCTTTCTTGACGTTGTGCTATATGTTGTCCATGTATGTGTATACTGTGATATATTTTGTCCTGCTTTCTTGACGTTGTGCTATAGGTTGTCCTTGCAATGTATACTTTGATATATATGTTATGCTTTGGTTTAGTTTGTCTTTGAATGCTTACACTATGATTTATTTGGTCCATCTTTGTTGCCGGTGTGCTAGTTTGACCCTATACGTCGAACCTTTGTGTAACATGTCTTTGTGAGTTGCTGTTATTTGATATCTATTCTATCCGTGTGTGTTGACATTGTGGTAACGACCTTATGTGCTAGCGCCGCTATGATGTAGGTAAAAACAATTTCTATTTTACTCATAGCTCATAGGAGTTATCATTATAAACTTCTGTGATGATATTTACTCTACAAATTATTTATTGTCAATATTATCCCTGCTTATAAAAATGTATTTTATTCAGTGGTATGACTGCTCGTATTTTTTCTTTTGACCGTTTTATTTCTTTAAAATATAATGTTATGCATCATTCTGATAAATCAAATAATGGAGTGAAAAAGCAGGAATTACCGCTGATGACCATCAATATTACCAAGTAGATTCTGCATAAAGCCCGGTATCTGTCTGAATTTCAAACAGCATAGATGTGTCCCGAACAGAACCGTACATGCATGGGGAGCCGTGTACTTACTGCAGAAACGGATACAGTTGCAGGCGAGGTTTATGTTCCCGTAAGTGTTACAAATTTCGTTATAAAATAACAAACTTACGACACCTTTCTATAACTTTCAATATAAAAACAAATGCCTTATCCTTACCAATAGGCCAATCGTACAATAATACACAATAATGCCAATATACCTTACACTTAAACATTAATTCACTATTGGGAAAGACCCGGATGACACTTTACGGCAAATAATGCCGTAAAGGGGTCCAGTGTTGTAAACACTATCATATCGTGTGACTACGGCTTCTACGTTTTCTAAAGTGGGAAGATTAGATTGGACACAAAAGTGGTGTCTATCAGTATTGTAACTATATAGAACAAATTAGACAATGAACACATTAGATATTACTTTTCGATAATTTAACAAGAAAGCAAGTTTATGTTAGATAGGAGGAGAAGCTGTCAGCAATATTTTCTTATGTACCGAAATGTCTTAAAATACTTGTTATCATATTTTTCTGCCACAGTCTTATAATTGTACGGAATCCATATCATCATGTTTGTTTAAAGTCCTGTAATTGCAGATAATTCTTTGTTATTATTTTTTGTCTCATTCTTATAATTGTAGGGCAAACCATGTTATCATTTTTGTCAAAGTCTTATAATTGTAGGGCAATCCTTTTTACCATTTTTTGGTCACAGTCATGTTATTGCAGGGAACTGTATCTGACCATATGTCATGTCCGAACGCCTATTTATTGCAGCTCCTTTGATACCTATGGGTAACATTGTGATACAGTTTGGTGATGAGTATGACAGCAGTAGAAAATCGAAGATAAACCATGTCATCCAGGAAAGTAGTTTATCCCATAAAACTGACACACCCTCCCCGGAAGAAAATAAGGCAGAGAATCAGGTATCCAAAACCATTGGTGACAAACTCCAAAGTGGAGGCCTCGGGAACAAGGCAGAGCTGAGGAAGGGCAGGACAGAAACACGCATCTACCACCCTACATCCGGGCAGTCCAACACTGTGCAAAACGACAGGTTACAGGAACTGACGTCATCCAGGGGTATGTGTTATGAATACGTAAATGTGTTGTGCTACAGTTAATATTTGTCTTTCCAAGTATGCAAATGATTGATTGTCAGATAATGACTGTCTGTTTATTTGTTACTAATCGAACATGAGTCATATACATCATTGCATGTACCTTTATCGTAACGACAAATTTTGTTTAACGTTTTTTTTCAAGCATAAGGAAGGCATTACCTTGCATGTGTGATTACATTTATTAATAATGATAAAAAAAATCTGTAACTAAGACTAAATCAATTTATTTGCTAATTCTTAACTTTTTATTGCATGTCTATTTGTTGTAATATGAATGCTGTTTCTGTATATGTGTGGAAATAACACATTACCCGTAACAGTTAGGCGCCAGACTACACGATACAGTCGGTACGACCCGTACGCCGCCGAGCGCAGGCGGCGTCGACAGCGTGAACAGGAACGAGTACGACAGCATGAACTGAGACGGAAACAACTTGAGCAGGAACAACTACGTCGACAGAAGGAAGAGGAGCGAAGGCGACGACAACAGCAAGGTCAAAGATCACGGGGACGTCAGGGTCAGGGTCAGGGGCCGGTAGAGCAACGACTTGGAGGCAAGTTGTCGGTGTAAACAACCGCAGTGTACGGGAAAACCATATGCCTCTTTACCTTATATATATATATATATATATATAGACATATGCAGTAGGTAAAATAGCACGCACGTAGTTTTGGGGTATCTACTGGGAGTATGTTTATGTAGTACGGTCGACTGTTTGTGTTTTTCTTCACAGGTGTGTTTGTATTGTCAATATGAATATGTGCACAACCTCGTCGTATTTACCCAATGTATTATAATTGCTTTAGATGCTTAATCAAAAATGTTTCAGTTCAACAAGAAAATTTCATTTTACAAATATTTCGCCATTTTACTTCATAAACAAAAAAAAGTAAATGACAAAAAATAAGCATTTGTATAAGCTATTATCATCAGTAAAAAAAATAATATTATGGCGATTCTTTTTGAACGCTGTCCATCTCCTTTCAATAGTATGTGTGCTAGTGTGTTTTCGTCAATCTTTAACTTAGCAATAATATATTATGGCAAATAGTGCTTGTATGCTTTACATACTTTCTAAGCATTATATTTAGATGCAATTGCACGTAATGTCCTATGTTTAATAGCGTTAAACATTTGTCCATTGTGTCGTTATAGTTATTAGTGAATATATCAAAATCATACACAAGAGAACGTTTACCGAACCTATAGCAAGTGAGGTTGTTTTCCAGCTCCAATGGCTGTTGTGGCTGGAAATAATTATGTGGAAGTTACTGACGTTTCAACTGAGGATGGGGTTGAAGTCTTAACTGAGGATATGACTGAAGTCTTAACTGGGGATGTGATTGGTGTCTCAACTGAGGATTGGACTGAAGTCTTAACTGAGAATGATACTGAAGTGTTAGTTGAGGATGTGACCAACGTCATCACACCGTTTGATCCGTATGCAGAGGAGAGACGATTGCGTAATTTGGAGCGAGAATTGCATGCAAAAATTCTAAAAATCCGAAAGCAGCATATGGCACTGACAGCGCAACGCTTGCGAAGAGAAAACGAAGTCGATGAAAAAGGCAAGAATATTGAAGAGTGTTGTAACAATGGAAGACAGCATTAAAAATAAATAAAAGAATTGAAGCAAAAATAAAATAAAAAATAAGATTTAAAAGAGTCCTTTTAATAAGCAAAGCACAATACAGTTTTGCATTCTAAATTTAAGAGTACTGATCTCCTCGTTATTGTAAGGAAGGTCTTAACAAACCCAAACTTGTTTTGTCGACGGATATTGCACTCATATTATCCGATAAAAGCGGTAGTAATGTTAACCGACAGAGTATGATGTTTTATTTGATTTTACGATATTGACACATTTGGTTGCGTTTTTAATACGGTCAAGAAATATGCATTTCAAATTTATGCATTGATGGCAGTGAACCCCTTTATAAGTATTTAATAAAGCATCAAAAAAGGGATTTATATTTTGAAACCAATATGTTGCGCAACCTTAAGCAAGTTAATAATGATTAAAGAGTTTTAGAGTTCTTTGAATTATCTCCGAAAGTAAATTTGAAAATAACGAATATTTAAATGCACACCTGCACTTTGTTTCTTCCACAAATATGATAAACAAGTGTCGCGGAAATAATAATCGGCTATAGCTAAAATCACAAGACTTGGTTATCAATATTGAAAATATACGTATTCCTGTTTTACAAATGATTATAATAGTCTTTCAATGATGAAACTGTATCCATTTGATATCATTGACATTTAATGCTATAACTTGTCTAAGCATTGTTGTTTTTGAAAACAAAGCACCGAACTCGCGGTTGTATTGTTTTTTTGATACAGTCCATGTTTATATACATTCATGTATGAGTCACTGATTACTGGATTTGATGAAGAAGGTACTTTTAATTCAGAATGCGTAGTACAACCGACACAGCCAATCACCAAATCGTTATTCAGGAACACTTTCTTCAATTGATGTAATCGTCGTACTTAGCTAGATGACTCACAGCACTGGTATTGTAGCTCACGGTAAATATGGGATTCAGAAGTCTTCATGATCCACACGTACATAACACGACTCATTTGAACATCTTAACTGATTAAAACTTTACGTGCGTCAAATTATATGGCAGACTACAATTGCTGGTAGGGAGGAAAGCCAAGGTTAAGTGTGGGGCCGAGGTTTGGCCTTGTTATCAACGTGAGGTAAGGTGGTTTACATAGTATCACTGTGTAGCTAGTATGCTTAGCTATTTAGTTTGGAATGCGCTTGGCTTAGTTTTAATTCGCTTTGGCATGGCTATGTAACCGCTCTTAGCAACTAGTCCGCTTCACGCTTACTGTATATATGGATTTTATGTGGTACCTTTTGTTAGCATGTTTTGGTTGGGTGTTCGATACATTGCATGCGAATCTTTTTTCCTATTTTTGTAATATTAAATGCAAATTGCTATGATACATAATAAATAATTTATAGCAATCATTAAATACTGTATAAATGTATTTCAAGTAATAAGTCTTGTCTGTTAAGTTCTTACCAGTTACTGCCCTTTGCCTTAACCATTTCGAACAAGATTTATCTCCTTCCCCCTCTCTTTCCTGAATATATGCGTTAAATAATTTTATAAATGAAATAATAAATATTGTACGTAACGACGTTATAATTTTTCAATATCTACAATTAATTTTCCTGATTATTTTACATTATTTTCTCTCATTGCATTGGTAAATATTAAAAACAATTTGTAAGCGTCTCACAACCACAAGACCCTGTGTATAATACTGAAGAAACGTGTTGTAGGCGGGCTATCTAACTATATATAATACGGAAGGGATGTGTTGTAGGCGGGCTATCTGATTATATATAATAATGAAGGGATGTGTTGTAGGCGGGCTATCTGATTATATATAATACTGAAGGAATGTGTTATCGGCGGGCTATATCTGATTATATATAATAATGAAGGGATGTGTTGTATGCGGGCTATCTGACTATATATATTACCGAAGGAATATGTTGTAGGCCGGTTATCTGACTATATATAATCCTGAAGGTATGTGCTGTAGGCGGGTTATCTGACAATATATAATACTGAAGGAATGTGTTTTAGGCGGGTTACCTGACTATATATAATACTGATGGAATGTGTTTTAGGCGGGTTACCTGACTATATAAAATACTGAAGGAATGTGTTTTAGGCGGGGTACCTGACTATATATAATACTGAAGGAATGTGTTGTAGGCGGACTGTCCGACAACGATGAGTATTACCTCCTTCAATTACACAACAACATACGGACAAGCGGAATAGCTAAATTGGTAAATAAATCAATATAACAATAATAAGAAACTATTTCATATCTGTTTGTCAATTTGAATGCTGTTTTGTTTTCAAATATTGGGTAGCATATTATTTAATCGTGTAAGAAGATGCGTTGGAAAAAAGGTTCTGTCAGACGATTTTATGAATGTCATACTTTGCAAAGAGAACTTTGCAGGATGATATTTGCAATGAAGTTAGATGTGCATGGCATAGCCGATGTATCATTGGCTGCCGTAATCTACATCATGTGTTATAAACTATCATTTGATGTCGAAAAAGAAAAGATAAATTTAATTTTGGATTAGGCTATGATATTCTTACGCTTGATATTTATCAATATTTTTGTACTAAAAAATCAATAATAGTAATTTTCCCGAACTTTGTGTTTATGGGGAATAATGTGGCAACTTTTGAATAATTATCTATGTGAGATGATATTTGAATGTTTTAATACTACTTTCAGAAATGGAGTAGCAGACTTGAGAGGTGGGCCAGGTACGTGATTCGCTGTGACACTGAATACCCAGGACCATCATTTTGCTTCACTAATTTCGGAAAAATAGCTATGGTAAGATATCTGTTATTCCTGGATACCACGTCAAAAAACGGCTCGTGTCTGTAATATTGTTCAAACTAAGAAAGTGCACCTGTGATAACATTTTAAGAGTTAAAAAATACAAAAATAATGATAAAGGCGGCCAATGTAAACACCACGAATAAATAACCCTTTATTGCGATATACATCTGATCCGTAAATATAAAGCAATTTGTTTTATCTATGTTTTATCTATGTTTTATCTATGTTTATCTATGTTTATCTATGTTTTATCCACGTGTATTTATGTGATTCGTGTTGCAGACAAACATGTGATAAACAAAATATTTAACGTTATAAACAATGTACAATCCTCCAAATTCATCACCATTGAGTCATATAAGGACGAATCAACTCTATGATGCATAATGTTAAATGTACATTCATGTGTGCGTGTGTGCGTGCGTGACATTCATCTGTCAATTTGTACATTATCATTCCAGACCGAAACTGTGTCTGATATACATTTTACGTGACATACATGGTTACGAATATAGTCGATCTACTTTATACTATGTTGTGTTACAAATAAATGTTACACAACAACTTATGGACATATATGATTAATGCCTAGGAGCCAGACATCTGTGTCTTGTTTTAAATACATTCTTCTGATAATTATATGTATTAGAGATGATGATGATGTGTTAACAGGTATGTGACATAAAGCAAAATATTAACAATATCGTAAGAAATAATAATCGGTATATTTAACAATTATGGACTAAAAATAGACTTGAAACTGTTATCATGCTACGTAATTGTATTCGAGGTAAAACATATCAGTTGAAGTGTTACATTGAAATAAAACAAATTACATAATGCCAGTATCTTTGAAATTTCATTCATAGTTGGAAAATAATCACTTCTTTTACCGTGCTATGTTGGATAATCAACCTTTTTAATTCTTAGGTTAAAGATTGTTCTAGTACGATTTGAAACAAGAACGTGTTAAGTTTAACTCTGTACAAATGCGAAAGCTTCGTTTGAACAATTCCATATTAGAAACCCAAACTGTGTACACTTTTGTTAGGCCCTTATGCGTTTGAAATACAACTTAAGTGACAATATGTTCACCAGTGTAGACTTGTTCAATCTAGTTTGTATCATCTTTGCTACAAGTATGTATTGTACTCTAACTTATGGAAATATATGGTGATTGCTTTAGGGCTAGACACCTTTTTTTTCACGGAAGCATTCTTCTCACAATTTTATGTATTATAAATGTTGAAGGTGTGAAAAATACTGAATTATACGTTTTTGTTGACAAAATACGAATAACATTAAAAACAGGAATAACATTAAAATGTCCATGCAAATTAGTTGCTTCCTCTTTTCCCAAGTCTAGGAGCATACATAACAATGTTGCATACTATAAACATACCCGGAAGACTTTGACCAGAAACTGTCTTTGGGATGTCCATTATCTTGACTTTTATTGTAGCAATGAGAATATTTAGATTTGGTTTCCTTAACACAATTAATCTGTCTATATATGTGACTTGATAACTATTACAAGGGAGACAACTGTATTTGTGATATTTGCTACAGGATCGGCCAATTTACAACATTGTGTACGACTGGAACGCTGAAGGGACAGACTTGAACAATGAACTGGAAACTGGATGTCGAACTCCTTATGATAGGTCGCTGTGTAACCATCACTTAGTGGTAAGTAGCTCCCTATTTTATTATATTTTATTTATTCCCACCTTACTGTGCTCCATTTACCTCAGTGCTTACTGCATTAGGCTACAAACTAGTACCTAACCAAATGATTGATACATAGAATAAGGTATTGGAAATTATCAAGTTATTCCAGATTAAAGCAATTGAACAAGATATCTTGCATTGTTAAAAACGGGTGTCTGATGTTAAAGATGAAAAGCAGAAAATACTTGAAACTATTTTGTACAGTTTTACAAAAATTATAGGCAAGCTTGATTTTAAAACATTACACGTTAAGTCTTGTACAAAATATTAAATCTTAAACAGAATGTTAATATCAATATTCTGAAGATAATATTTGTTTTAAATATGTTCCTCACTGTGATCAATTTTAATTTGTGACCCTTACTTCTGTAGATGAACAACAGGGATATACGAGAAATGGCATGTGCGTCCTTGAACTGTGACAGGCAGCGCCAAGTTACTTGCATATACCAGTGAAAAAAAGTCACTTCAGCTCCATGTTTTTGGGTGCTCTAGATGTTTTTATAGTCTGGGTAAAGTAAGTAATGCAGACATCGATGGAACCGTCTTATTAAAATGAAGCAAGTAATGATACCAAAGTGTGACAATGCTTGTCAGTGTCACTAGAACAATTGTCCGATTGTGGACGATTGAAATAGAATGACTGACACAGAGATACCTGTTAATGGCATACTGACTGTGGTTCTGCGGAATATGTACTTCGACGTAATGGTCTATGACATGTTGTATGTCTTTCAGTTGAAGTAAAATATTATAATACATTCCAGAAAATGATGATGAAACATGTCTTACATGTATGGTATGTTGAAACATTATATAAATATAAACGCCATATACAAATACCTCATATAAAGATCCGACAATAAGAGTTATTTGTATCGTGTTCTCCGAACGATTGATTGATACTAAAATTGAATAGAAATGAACAGTCTGAATACAAAGAGTTTAGGATGAATCACCGAAGTCCGGAGGAGCTCGCCAGTAAACATCGGTAACGATAGGTAATGTCATATTCGGTGGAAAAAACCTTACCAGCAATGAATATTTGAATCAATATACCTCGACACAAATTGTGTCTATGTGATATTCTTAGATAACAATGGTTATAGATGTACTGGTATAATATTGTTTAATAGTTTTATCTTTAGCTAAACATATCGTGTGTAGTTGTTATAGTAACAACGCTGTATAGTACCCCTAGGTATAGTGATTAACCGTGTGAATTATTTTATGATATAGTACTGGTTTATTGTGAGAATATAGGTGCCTGCGGAGTGTGTATAATGTGTATCTCGGTTGCACATTAATGATTGAGTGGTCGGTAAAGTTTAAACAAGAAGTTATTCTTTGTTCCTGTAATATCAAACTTTTACCTGTTGTTTAATTAAAATTTCCTGTCACAAACATACATTAAGTATGCCGCTCCGGAGTGAATATTTAATATACATATGTATGCGTAAAATACGACCTGACATATCTGTAATGATTGCTGCTGTTAAACTTGTTGTAAAATAAGTCATGTGGATCCACAGTCTAGAAAGTAAATGGAGGTTAATATTACAAATAATAATTGCTAGCAAACACACTGAGTAATATGTGAAGTGTAAATGACGTACACACGATGAATTGAACGTCTGTATTATTTAAATGGTCCTTACAGATGAAGCTATAATGAAAAATAATAATTTCCTAACGACTTATCGAAGATTTTGATTCTTTAATTACATATCTAAAAATATATATAAATAATAAAAATTACAACTTATTGACGACTTCTCGAAGTTGTTAAATATATTTTCATATAATTATATATGAATAATGAAATATAATAAATTATTGACAACTTGTTGAAGATTCATTTTTTTATTTTATTGTCATATATATATTTCAGAATACCTGCATTCATACTGGTTTCCTATCGTGTCATGAGTTGCTTTTGAACTATATCAACATAATAAAATTATATTGAACGTAATGCCTTATAGATATATATTTGTTTAAGAAAGTAAAATACATTTAATATGTGCTGAATATCTTTGTTATTATTTCACAACTGCATGATATTTTGTTCTTCTGAGTATACCTATGATGGGATCATGATAAGGAAATTTTAATGTACCTGTTATGATTGAGCATAGAATCAAAACTCATTGTTTCTTCCAACACAACCAATATGTAACCAACACTAGTAAAATTTAGACAAAGATTTTACAATTTTTGTTTTAAGAAAACTGTTTGGTCAATGACCATTGCATACATACATGTAATATCATACAGATAAATATGTAACACTGTTATGTCATATAAGTCATAATAATGACATAGTCATGTCATTCATCTGTCCAAGTGAAAACGAGATAACGTTATACACGTCCAAACAACGACAACTTATTGTCATACAGGTTCAATGTAAAAAATGTAAAACATTGTAAACAATGTAACAGGTAAAAATGATGATAAAAAAACACATTTTCACACAGATTCAGTCGATGACAAAATAATGAAATCATGCAAAAGGTCATACACATTCAAACGGTGGTAACATGATATCATTTTGTTTCAACAATGATAACATTAAGAAAGTCGATGGTGTCAATACAATCAAAATATGTAAATACAACAACAAAAAATAATATCTCGGCATGTTATACAAGAAATACAAATGATTGACACAAATGTCAACGTTAACTGCAGTAAAACAATATTCATCTCCATTTAATCTGGGAATATCTTTTGTTTGACACCTGTTTGCCTATATATAACAAGGCATACACAGTTGATATGATATATGATATATCGGAAGTATGGAAATCGTGACACCTCTCTACTTCTCTGTAGTTATAGTCTTTGATGCCTCTTGATTAGATAATTATAACAGAATCAATTATGTTTCAGAAAAACAATGAAAAATGTTTATATACAAAAACCTTAACATGCATTTCATAACCCACATTATCGGTTCATGATTATTATTAACAAATACGAAACGTACCTTATCAATAGTGACTTTTTTTCATATGTTTAACACATAAATGCTTTGTTTATGTTTTATCACAAAATTGGCAACACCACATTCAGTTATGAATCATTCATCTGATAAAGGTAAAGTGAAGGGTATTGTAGATATCGGTTGGCATGTGCTTCTTATATGGCCTATGTATAATTGATAAGCAGTAGGGTGAAATGAGATGGCACATTGTTACATGCATGTCAAAAATGTTCTGTAACAGTGCCGCGGTTTGACGTGCTGTATTGTCCGTTCAAATAACTACACATATTGGCCACTACATTTAGTATCTTACACCCATACCGATCACATGTTTCCTCACACCTGAAGCAATGGATAAACATACAAAGAATTGGTAAACAGTTCATGTTACCTACAGGTGGGTGACAGCCTGGGCATGAATCCTTAGGACGGTTACGTAGCCATGTTTTTCGCTGACAACTATCATGGTAAACTCATCTTAATCATGTTTCCACTATCGGAAACAAGAATCATGTATTTCCAATCGAATGATACGGTTACTAGCATTATCGTTATGGGAAAAAAGTCCCAAAACTCATGATGGCTTATTATTATGTTAATTCAACTACCATACGCTTATTAAACAATATGAGTCGAGTTTGTTAAACATGATGTCCAATGTCCAACCACCATTTGTACGTAAACCTTTAGAACCTTTACGTACTTTTTCTACATAGACGTTTCATACCATTGCTTATATCGTATTTTGCTAGAGGTTTGCGAGAATAAAGAAGTCATTATTATTAGAATGCAATTCGAATTCATACGAAAGATTAAATCCACCTCAGAAATGTATCTTGCACTACAAGTGTATCACAACCGTACGATCAGTAGGCTTGTAAACGGGCGGGTAACTCTGTTTGATGTGTTTACAAGGAAGAAAATACAGCTGTGTTATATGATATGAGCTGACCTACATAGGAGTTTTATGAACTATCCGAAAATCAGGAGTTGGTTGATTTACTATATGGTCATTGTTTGAGAAGGCACACGATTGACACCACTCCTAACAGTGTGTACCTCAGGAAAGCATGGCGATCCTGGATGTTTACCTTCTCCTCGTGGCCCTAGTTACAGGTAAGTAAGTTTAGATATGGTCTTACCTGTAATACACTGAGATTTTAGGTATGTACCGTTTGGCTGCACATGCATGTAAACGGACATGTACTCTTTGTTATGTGTGTGAATGTGAGAAAGAAGGTATGTTGGATAACTTGCAGTAAGGTAGATGGTATTCCGTCAGTGGTCACGGCGAAGCGAGTATATGTTGTAAAGCAGGACAATAAAACACTTGTGGTTTCTACATCGCCCTTATGTGACCGTCCTTATTGTTTGTTCTACTTTCACATTGTACACAGGTTTTACTGTATGTGCTCGTCTAAAGGGCGATAACAAGAGCTGATAAAACACATAAATACATAAATCTTTGTTCGATGTTGTTCAATTTTCTTACACATTAAAACGCCAATGCTATTTCAGTCTTTTTTGTAAGGCTTAAATTGTTTGAAATAAACAACAATAAACACATTTCATTTATAACGTATTAATGTGTACTGAGAGGATAAATGAAATGTTCTGGTTATGCTACTGATGAATTGAGTTTTTAAAATTGTCATAAGAAAGAAAATGTATTAACAAAGTCAAAAAGTATCAAATATTTTAAATTGTTGTCTACTCAAATAGTATATAGATAAATAATAAAAATTAACTATATGGATTGTTGTAAACATGTTTTATACACTCAGGAAGTTTAGTTCAGTGTGAGATAGCCAAGTCTGTAGCCGGACCATGGGAAAGTACCAGAAGTACCTGTCAACTCCTTAACTCGAGTTTCCTATGTGAGGATGGTCCAGATACATGTAACCTCAGAAGTGACATCGAAGTACCGACTGGAAGGTTTTGGATCGGAGCCTACGTTCATACAACTACAATCATTTTGTATAAAGGTGCGTGGGAAATAAGAAATGTCATACTTGGTTAGACATATATTCCGTCTCTGCGTATTGCAGAGTTATCTTCTCTTGGGGGCAGGTATTGATTGTTACGTCATTGGTTTGTGTGAGAAAATTACGTCGTTTTCTCACAAACAAATGACGTAACAATCAATACCTGCTCACAAGTGCAGATAACTTTGCAATATGCAAAGACGGAATTTCAAATTGCACATTATAATAATTTATATTAACGCACTAACATATGGTTTCCCCCATGGAAATTTCTGTCATAGACCATTTCCCTGCATGTTGTTAACGTTTTGTCAAATTTGGTTATTTTTCCTCTTACATCAATGTGTTAATGCATTTCACCCACTGAATAACCTGGTCTGCTTTCCTTTTACGCAGAAAAAAATTCTGTAGATTATATTTGAAATTTAGTTCTCTATCAAGAGTCATTTCCTTCATTGTAAACGGCACATTAATCAAACAAGGACATTATTGTCAACATATATACATGTATATATATAGAATATGTAACAATACGTTTTCTACGTCCGTCCGCTAGAGGCACATTAATCAAACAAGGACATTATTGTCAACATATATACATGTATATATATAGAATATGTAACAATACGTTTTCTACGTCCGTACGCTAGAGTCATTATATTCACAAGATCATCATAACATTTTCTATGGGTCAAACATAATAAACACAAGGTCTATGCGTCGTATGTTGTATTATTCTATATGAATGTGTTTTTTTTTATGAAATATGAAACCAAAATTAATAGTCAAATGTCATCGCAATTAGCGGTGTTTTTATTTCCTACCCGAGTTAAGAATCCCTACCCCACTGCAGATACATAATTCCACTGTAGTTTTTAAATACATACTGTAGCCTACCCTAAATTTCGTCTAGGATATAAATAACAAAGTCGGGCTCGGCCAGAAAACTATCCCTGATCAGGTATCTCCATTGGTCAGACTCTATTGTGATCAGAGGTTAAGGGTTCCAATCCTTGTCTAGCGCAAATGCATTTTTACTCGCAGAACATTTTTTTTTGTTTATTCCATCTTTCCTAATTGTCATGAAGGTACTGTTGGGGCTTCCTTTGAGATTTGATTGTGTAAAACATACAGGTGAAAGAGTTTCCAATTCATAGTTACTTTTTTAGCAGTGGTACTGCAATAATTGCTGGTTATTTATCATCTCCTATAAATCCGCTGTTATTTGCATGGATCAATGTTTCCTTGTCAATGCATGATGTGGATATTTGGTACAAGATGAATCGTTGCAGGCTGCAAACAAGTTCCTGACGGAGCCATTCCGGAATTTACATCAGTGAACATGACATTAAAAGGCTGTGTGGAGAAATGTCATACTAAGTACGCACACGATAATACCCTAGAAACACTGGCACTTCACGTGAGTAGTGACGTAACAGTGGTCTAACCATTCTAATGTCTGTCTTGAGTTTTTTGCAAAATTACGTCTAGCTGAAAGTTTGTGTTTTTCTACCTTCGAAAATGTAAATCTTGCTTGCTATGATGCACGTGAGTACACATTTCTATGCATACGTTTAATATACCGTACAATAAACATATTCTGTTTATTTAACAGATGGATTCCTGCTACTGTACTACTCGTAACAGACAAACGCCTGACGAGTCTGAATGTAACACACCATGTGCTTCAAACACTGCTGTAACGTGTGGTGGTCAAACGTCAATGTCTACGTACGAGTTTAGCCCAGGTAAGCAATATACCCTTGTATAACGTGTTAAGGCTAGGCACTGCTGTTACGTGTGGTGGTCTACCGTCAATGTCTACGTACGAGTTTGGCCGAGGTAAACAATATACACTTGTATAACGTGTTAAGGCGAAGGCACTGCTGTAACGTGTGGTGGTCAAACGACAATGTCTACGTACGAGTTTAGCCCAGGTAAGCGATATACACTTGGATAACGTGTTAAAGCTAGGACACCCTGCTCTTACCTGTGGTGTCTTAACGTCAATATCTACGTACGAGTTTAGGCGAGGTAAGCAATATACCCTTGTATAACGTGTTAAGGCTGGGACACTGTTGTAACGTGTGGTGTCCTAACGGCAATGTCTACGTACGAGTTTAGCCCAGGTAAGCAATATACCCTTGTATAACGTGTTAAGGCTAGGCACTGCTGTTACGTGTGGTGGTCTACCGTCAATGTCTACGTACGAGTTTAACCGAGGTAAACAATATACACTTGGATAACGTGTTAAAGCTAGGACACCCTGCTCTTACCTGTGGTGTCTTAACGTCAATATCTACGTACGAGTTTAGCCGAGGGAAGCAATATACACTTGTATAACGTGTTAAGGATAGGGCACTGCTGTAACGTGTGGTGGTCACACGTCAATGTCTACGTACGAGTTTAACCGAGGTAAACAATATACACTTGGATAACGTGGTAAGGCTAGGAAATATACCCTTGTATAACGTGTTAAGGCTGGGGAACTGTTGTAACGTGTGGTGTCCTAACATCAATATCTACGTACGAGTTTAGGCGAGGTAAGCAATATACCCTTGTATAACGTGTTAAGGCTGGGACACTGTTGTAACGTGTGGTGTCCTAACGTCAATATCTACGTCCGAGTTTAGCCGAGGTAAGCAATATTCCCTTGTATAACGTGTTAAGGCTGGGGCACTGTTGTAACGTGTGGTGTCCTAACGTCAATATCTACGTACGAGTTTAGCCGAGGTAAGCAATATACCCTTGTATAACGTGTTAAGGCTAGGGCACTGCTGTTACGTGTGGTGGTCTAACGTCAATGTCTACGTACGAGTTTGGCCGAGGTAAACAATATACACTTGGATAACGTGTTAAGGCTAGGACACTGCTGTTACGTGTGGTGGTCTAAAGTCAATGTCTGCGTACGAGTTTAGCCGAGGTAAGCAATATACACTTGGATCACGTGTTAAGGCTAGGGCACTGCTGTAACGTGTGGTGTCCTAACGTCAATGTCTACGTACGAGTTTAGCCGAGGTAAGCAATATACACTTGGATAACGTGTTAAGGCTAGGGCACTGCTGTAACGTGTGGTGTCCTAACGTCAATGTCTACGTACGAGTTTAGCCGAGGTAAGCAATATACACTTGGATAACGTGTTAAGGCTAGGGCACTGCTGTAACGTGTGGTGTCCTAACGTCAATGTCTACGTACGAGTTTAGCCGAGGTAAGCAATATACACTTGGATAACGTGTTAAGGCTAGGGCACTGCTGTAACGTGTGGTGTCCTAACGTCAATGTCTACGTACGAGTTTAGCCGAGGTAAGCAATATACACTTGGATAACGTGTTAAGGCTAGGGCACTGCTGTAACGTGTGGTGTCCTAACGTCAATGTCTACGTACGAGTTTAGCCGAGGTAAGCAATATACACTTGGATAACGTGTTAAGGCTAGGGCACTGCTGTAACGTGTGGTGTCCTAACGTCAATGTCTACGTACGAGTTTAGCCGAGGTAAGCAATATACACTTGGATAACGTGTTAAGGCTAGGGCACTGCTGTAACGTGTGGTGTCCTAACGTCAATGTCTACGTACGAGTTTAGCCGAGGTAAGCAATATACACTTGGATAACGTGTTAAGGCTAGGGCACTGCTGTAACGTGTGGTGTCCTAACGTCAATGTCTACGTACGAGTTTAGCCGAGGTAAGCAATATACACTTGGATAACGTGTTAAGGCTAGGGCACTGCTGTAACGTGTGGTGTCCTAACGTCAATGTCTACGTACGAGTTTAGCCGAGGTAAGCAATATACACTTGGATAACGTGTTAAGGCTAGGGCACTGCTGTAACGTGTGGTGTCCTAACGTCAATGTCTACGTACGAGTTTAGCCGAGGTAAGCAATATACACTTGGATAACGTGTTAAGGCTAGGGCACTGCTGTAACGTGTGGTGTCCTAACGTCAATGTCTACGTACGAGTTTAGCCGAGGTAAGCAATATACACTTGGATAACGTGTTAAGGCTAGGGCACTGCTGTAACGTGTGGTGTCCTAACGTCAATGTCTACGTACGAGTTTAGCCGAGGTAAGCAATATACACTTGGATAACGTGTTAAGGCTAGGGCACTGCTGTAACGTGTGGTGTCCTAACGTCAATGTCTACGTACGAGTTTAGCCGAGGTAAGCAATATACACTTGGATAACGTGTTAAGGCTAGGGCACTGCTGTAACGTGTGGTGTCCTAACGTCAATGTCTACGTACGAGTTTAGCCGAGGTAAGCAATATACACTTGGATAACGTGTTAAGGCTAGGGCACTGCTGTAACGTGTGGTGTCCTAACGTCAATGTCTACGTACGAGTTTAGCCGAGGTAAGCAATATACACTTGGATAACGTGTTAAGGCTAGGGCACTGCTGTAACGTGTGGTGTCCTAACGTCAATGTCTACGTACGAGTTTAGCCGAGGTAAGCAATATACACTTGGATAACGTGTTAAGGCTAGGGCACTGCTGTAACGTGTGGTGTCCTAACGTCAATGTCTACGTACGAGTTTAGCCGAGGTAAGCAATATACACTTGGATAACGTGTTAAGGCTAGGGCACTGCTGTAACGTGTGGTGTTCTAACGTCAATGTCTACGTACGAGTTTAGCCGAGGTAAGCAATATACACTTGGATAACGTGTTAAGGCTAGGGCACTGCTGTAACGTGTGGTGTCCTAACGTCAATGTCTACGTACGAGTTTAGCCGAGGTAAGCAATATACACTTGGATAACGTGTTAAGGCTAGGGCACTGCTGTAACGTGTGGTGTCCTAACGTCAATGTCTACGTACGAGTTTAGCCGAGGTAAGCAATATACACTTGGATAACGTGTTAAGGCTAGGGCACTGCTGTAACGTGTGGTGTCCTAACGTCAATGTCTACGTACGAGTTTAGCCGAGGTAAGCAATATACACTTGGATAACGTGTTAAGGCTAGGGCACTGCTGTAACGTGTGGTGTCCTAACGTCAATGTCTACGTACGAGTTTAGCCGAGGTAAGCAATATACACTTGGATAACGTGTTAAGGCTAGGGCACTGCTGTAACGTGTGGTGTCCTAACGTCAATGTCTACGTACGAGTTTAGCCGAGGTAAGCAATATACACTTGGATAACGTGTTAAGGCTAGGGCACTGCTGTAACGTGTGGTGTCCTAACGTCAATGTCTACGTACGAGTTTAGCCGAGGTAAGCAATATACACTTGGATAACGTGTTAAGGCTAGGGCACTGCTGTAACGTGTGGTGTCCTAACGTCAATGTCTACGTACGAGTTTAGCCGAGGTAAGCAATATACACTTGGATAACGTGTTAAGGCTAGGGCACTGCTGTAACGTGTGGTGTCCTAACGTCAATGTCTACGTACGAGTTTAGCCGAGGTAAGCAATATACACTTGGATAACGTGTTAAGGCTAGGGCACTGCTGTAACGTGTGGTGTCCTAACGTCAATGTCTACGTACGAGTTTAGCCGAGGTAAGCAATATACACTTGGATAACGTGTTAAGGCTAGGGCACTGCTGTAACGTGTGGTGTCCTAACGTCAATGTCTACGTACGAGTTTAGCCGAGGTAAGCAATATACACTTGGATAACGTGTTAAGGCTAGGGCACTGCTGTAACGTGTGGTGTCCTAACGTCAATGTCTACGTACGAGTTTAGCCGAGGTAAGCAATATACACTTGGATAACGTGTTAAGGCTAGGGCACTGCTGTAACGTGTGGTGTCCTAACGTCAATGTCTACGTACGAGTTTAGCCGAGGTAAGCAATATACACTTGGATAACGTGTTAAGGCTAGGGCACTGCTGTAACGTGTGGTGTCCTAACGTCAATGTCTACGTACGAGTTTAGCCGAGGTAAGCAATATACACTTGGATAACGTGTTAAGGCTAGGGCACTGCTGTAACGTGTGGTGTTCTAACGTCAATGTCTACGTACGAGTTTAGCCGAGGTAAGCAATATACACTTGGATAACGTGTTAAGGCTAGGGCACTGCTGTAACGTGTGGTGTTCTAACGTCAATGTCTACGTACGAGTTTAGCCGAGGTAAGCAATATACACTTGGATAACGTGTTAAGGCTAGGGCACTGCTGTAACGTGTGGTGTCCTAACGTCAATGTCTACGTACGAGTTTAGCCGAGGTAAGCAATATACACTTGGATAACGTGTTAAGGCTAGGGCACTGCTGTAACGTGTGGTGTCCTAACGTCAATGTCTACGTACGAGTTTAGCCGAGGTAAGCAATATACACTTGGATAACGTGTTAAGGCTAGGGCACTGCTGTAACGTGTGGTGTCCTAACGTCAATGTCTACGTACGAGTTTAGCCGAGGTAAGCAATATACACTTGGATAACGTGTTAAGGCTAGGGCACTGCTGTAACGTGTGGTGTCCTAACGTCAATGTCTACGTACGAGTTTAGCCGAGGTAAGCAATATACACTTGGATAACGTGTTAAGGCTAGGGCACTGCTGTAACGTGTGGTGTCCTAACGTCAATGTCTACGTACGAGTTTAGCCGAGGTAAGCAATATACACTTGGATAACGTGTTAAGGCTAGGGCACTGCTGTAACGTGTGGTGTCCTAACGTCAATGTCTACGTACGAGTTTAGCCGAGGTAAGCAATATACACTTGGATAACGTGTTAAGGCTAGGGCACTGCTGTAACGTGTGGTGTCCTAACGTCAATGTCTACGTACGAGTTTAGCCGAGGTAAGCAATATACACTTGGATAACGTGTTAAGGCTAGGGCACTGCTGTAACGTGTGGTGTCCTAACGTCAATGTCTACGTACGAGTTTAGCCGAGGTAAGCAATATACACTTGGATAACGTGTTAAGGCTAGGGCACTGCTGTAACGTGTGGTGTCCTAACGTCAATGTCTACGTACGAGTTTAGCCGAGGTAAGCAATATACAATGTACACTTGGATAACGTGTTAAGGCTAGGGCACTGCTGTAACGTGTGGTGGTCTTACTCCAATGTCTGCGTACGAGTTTAGCCGAGGTAAGCAATATACACTTGTATAACGTGTTAAGGCTAAGGCACTGCTGTAACGTGTGGTGGTCTAACGTCAATGTCTACGTACGGGTCTAGCCGAGGTAAGCAATATACACTTGGATAACGTGTTAAGGCTAGGGCACTGCTGTAACGTGTGGTGTCCTAACGTCAATGTCTGCGTACGAGTTTAGCACAGGTAAGCAATATACACTTGGTTAACGTGTTAAGGCTAGGGCACTGAGGTAACGTTTGGTGATCTAACGTCAATGTCTACGTATGAGTTTAGCCGAGGTAAGCAATATACACTTGGTTAACGTGTTAAGGCTAGGGCACTGAGGTAACGTTTGGTGATCTAACGTCAATGTCTACGTATGAGTTTAGCCGAGGTAAGCAATATACACTTGGTTAACGTGTTAAGGCTAGGGCACTGAGGTAACGTTTGGTGATCTAACGTCAATGTCTACGTATGAGTTTAGCCGAGGTAAGCAATATACACTTGGTTAACGTGTTAAGGCTAGGGCACTGAGGTAACGTTTGGTGATCTAACGTCAATGTCTACGTATGAGTTTAGCCGAGGTAACCAATATACACTTGTATAACGTGTTAAGGCTAGGGCACTGCTGTAACGTGTGGTGTATTAACGTCAATGTCTACGTACGAGTTTAGCCGAGGTAAACAATATACACTTGGTTAACGTGTTAAGGCTAGGGCACTGAGCTAACGTTTGGTGATCCAGCGTCAATGTCTACGTACGAGTTTAGTCGAGGTAAGCAATATACACTTGGATAACGTGTTAAGGCTAGGGCACTGCTGTAACGTGTGTTGTCTTAACGTCAATGTCTACGTACGAGTTTAGCCGAGGTAAACAATATACACTTGGTTAACGTGTTAAGGCTAGGGCACTGAGCTAACGCTTGGTGATCCAGCGTCAATGTCTACGTACGAGTTTAGTCGAGGTAAGCAATATCCACTTGGATAACGTGTTAAGGCTAGGGCACTGCTGTAACGTGTGGGGTTTTAACGTCAATGTCTACGTACGAGTTTAGCCGAGGTAAACAATATACACTTGGTTAACGTGTTAAGGCTAGGGCACTGAGCTAACGCTTGGTGATCCAGCGTCAATGTCTACGTACGAGTTTAGTCGAGGTAAGCAATATACGCTTGGATAACGTGTTAAGGCTAGGGCACTGCTGTAACGTGTGGTGTCCTAACGTCAATGTCTACGTACGAGTTTAGCCGAAGTAAGCAATATACACTTGTATAATTTTTGAAAGTTAAAATGGAACACGAATTTACCTTATATTAGATGGATCAGTCTATTGAAGGTATTTGTAAAAACCGTTTATTGAGAAGAGGAGAAAATGGACGAGGGGATTTCTTGTTGATAAGCGGATTATTGCATTACTATAAATCCTCTCTTTGTATTCTATATACAGAAAAACACAATGAAAGGCGTAGCCAGATATGTTAAACAATAGTTTACCTGAACCTAACCCAGGATGTGGATGCAATGTCCGTCCGCCTTTGACTCCATAGAGAAACTTTAACGTTCAGGTGGAAAAAATAACAATTCGTGCTGTATGCAACCTACATTTTCATATAGTGTTTCTTTACTATCATTGTTTTAAACCGTACTTAATAAGGGAAATCACTTTACCGGGAACATATTGCTACGGCGAAAAAAACAATACTGTAGTGAAAATAATAGAATAGTTAAATCAATCACAACAGTGAAAATAACACTACAGTCAAAACAACACCACACTGAAAATATAACTGCTGTCAAAAAAACACTGCAGCAGAAGTAACAGTAGCGGAGACGTTAAAATAAGGTTATAGTGAAAAATTAATACAACAGTGAAAATAAAATTAAAATGAAATATCACTTTAGTGATAAATTGCATTACAATGAAAATAACACAACAGTGAAAATAATATTAGAGTTAAAATAATACTGCAATTAAATATCCTTGTATACAGTAAAGTAACCAGTGTTCGAAAAAGCACCAATTTGTACATAGTGATCAATAAAATGATAATTGAAATTTATCAGCTTATTTTTACATTCAGTTGGAGGCACACAAAAAAGTGGTCCCCTTTCTTTCTCACCGCTGTGTGGAACATCGAATAATAAATTCAAAAATTGCCAAGACCAGAGTGAAGCTGTGTGTAAAAGTAAGTGAACAAATTCATTATATTTTTTCGTGAACAGAAACATTATATTGTTTTTCATACATGATTATGTTCTATAATTTGGAAAGCGTTTCTTAAACATGCAATAATATGCTCAATTATGAACAATTGCAAATGTTTGTAAACGAGTTTTTTCATGAGGAAGATGACACTGAATAATCTATCCCTCGTTTGTGTTACAACACGCTACAAACACTACACTTCTCTGCAGTATGCACATTGATATACATTTGGTTTTCTCCAAGCTGTGACCAATTCAATTAACTTATTTTTTATTGATAGAGTAAGGATAACCCGGAATCTTTTCACAGAACGTCTTTCCTTTAGTGATACTGTTGAGTTTAAGTATTGCACGTTCATGTAACATGATTTAACATTCGTTTGTCCTGTGACGAATTCCTGACATAAGATGTTAACAATGTATCATAAATTTGTTTGCTTTAATTTGTAAAGATAATCAAACCTCTTCAATGAGAATGTCTTGGCCACAAGCTAACAAATGGTGTCAAGACAGGTCCTCCCAGCTCACCATAGATCGGACTTTTCCAGGCAATAGGGATCCCTGGATCAACCTCGTCAAGCACCGCTTTGTCAATTGGGTTGATGGTAATGTAGTTCTAATTAAAGAAAGGAACATCACTGTAGTCACATTTTGTTTACGTAAAGCCAGTACTGATGAAAACACGGTGAATCAGCAATACTTCCACAGAACAATTCATGTATAAATAATATTTTCTTCTGCTCTTCTATTGTGATCAAGGTAGAGTGTACCACCATTTATCTGCTGCAAACAAGCATTGGAAAGTTGTTGACCTGTTAAAGTGATGTTATTTCCTTTATTAGAAAGATAAAGGTTACGGGACTTTTCAGGGAGCTAAAACATGTTGAAAAATATTTTTTTTTGGAATGTTATAGAAAAGTATTATGACACATATCATGACCGTTACTATCAAGAGGATTTTGGGGATCGACCCTCCGTGGCTGATGGTTTTAAAAAAGAAATTATGATACATATGCATTTCGAATATAACCTTTTGCACTAATAACTAGATAAGCGACTGAGAAAAAATGTTACAACAAATGTCAAACATACCCCACTAGGACCTTCTGTAGTAATACTGTAATACTTATTTTATCACTCAACATGTTGGATATAACGTTATTATGATCAAAGAATGGCGAGGGCATAAATATTTCTATTCAATCATAATCTGTAGCATATAATTCACTAACGGTATTAAGAAATCAATGAAAGATTGACCAGATATGTGTATGTTGTTATGGTTTTACGATATGTAGTCGTAATGTGTTGAATCACGGTTTCCTTATAGGTGCTGTCCCCGAGGCGACGACTTACTGTGTATCGTTGATGTGCGAGAGCGGAACATGTTCGTTTTTTTCCGACAGTTGCACAAGGCAGCTTTCAGGATTGTGCTGGAAGACACAAGGTTTGTTGAATGTGTCATTGTTTCTTGATAACTGATGCTTTATCGATTTTGAGAGTCAATTCAAACAATTTGATGATAAAACATAATTTCTAAAAGAAATAATGAGATGTATCTATATATGTATCTATATGATATCTTTTTAAAAGAAAGATCAATATAATTCGCAAAAACTGATTTTGAAATTAATTCACAACCAATTTTAACCAAAGTGTATGTAGCACATATGGAGCCTGCAATGTCATGTTTTCTGTTGTATCCTAGATGATAACAATGTAAACACGGATTCGTCAAGTACGCTTTCTCCTCCTTCACGCACTGCTCCTCGTGTGATGTCATCGGGGTTAATGCCAACACCGACAGGGAGGGAGAATTCATCTTATATTCCGGTAGTCAATGTCCCACGCACGGAAAATAACAATAGCGATGGAATGCTTGGTAAATCTTAAAATATATTTATATATTAATTTATCAAACAAAAACATCCTACATCTTCTGTGTTTTGTTAGTTGTTGAAACAAATGTTCACCTTTTTTGAAATCGCATTATGGGTTACCTTAACAGCACCATTTTCATTTTAGCCAATAAAAAATATTTCAAATGTTAAAAACTTACAAAAAATTAAACCAGTCGGTTACCTCCCTTGGTATATAAAATTTTCATTCTAATATTTTTGTTGTAAAGGTTTGTCAGGTAACATGTTTCCTAATCATTGATCATGGATTTGTTAAATTTTATTGAAATACAAAACACAATTTAGCTTGTAAAAACGGAATTTCATATAAAAAAATCAATCACTGCTATAAGTGCAGAATGATTCACGTTCATCTTTGATATGAATCACCAACTTTATGTATAAAACTTGTACATTTTCAGTGTATATTCTGGTCGCTGTCGCAGTGGTGGTGATAGTCATCCTCACAGTCATACTGACCTTCATATTCTGTCGTAAAAGGTAACTATCCATCTTCTAACCGACAAAGTATGGTGACAACTTCATCCGTCATATCTTAATATATTTGTACTTACCAATTGATTTCATCGGTCATATGTGTTTATATAAATACCACTGAATGACCCTAGGAGCACATTTGTTTTTGAATTAATCAACACTGCCGAATGAAGAAAAAAATATTAACATGTTTACGGTAATATTAATATATTGTTTTTATCAACACTGCTGAATGAAGAAAAGGTTATTAGTATAATAATATCATTTATGAATCGATCATATTATGAAACGTTGGAAATTACAAATGATAAGTTGTATGCATCAGTTGTTTTAAACCAAATGACATGTGTCATATTTAACAACAATACATATTCGCTGTTTATTTGAAACGTTTAAGGAAATTGAAACAAGGCAGACCACGTTCGAAACCAGACTCAAACAATATCGAGGAACCAGCAAGACCCCTTATGGAACAGTCTGTCCGCGAGCACCGTGGTAGTGATGATTACGATCGAGTCAAGGGCGATTACGACAAGATCAGAGAGGATTTTGTAATCGACACCAAAGACACAAGTAACAGTGACTACGACAAGATCAAAGGTGACTACGACAACATCAAAGGTGACTATGACAACAACAGTGGTGATGATGACCCAGCATATGCTCGTGTTACCAGCTTCGCGCCATCAGATCAACCGGAAGTTGATGATGTTCCCAAAACAGAGCGAGACAGTGATAATTACGACCTCCTTAGGACCAACAAACGACCGGAAGGAGGAGTTGACAGTACGTATGATCACATACCTGCAGAAACAGAGGACGACACTTACAATGTTTTACAATCGCAAGAGAATTTACACAAAGATGACATTGGCGACTTCATGTATGACGTCACTTCCGCTATAAATGGGTTAGGAAATTATGACACGTTTCGTAATAATAAAACTGAGAACACTAATAATGACTACGACACGGCGGAATCAGTGTTACACTCCGATTCATGATATAAAAACTACACATCAGACAATTTACATCAACGAAAATAACATCACTTTGGAAACATTGCTGTGTCTTTATAGGAATATCTTGTTTACGAACTCCTTCGTAAAACTAGTACAAGAATGCTAACTTCAGACAATAACATTTACCATAGTTTACACTTATCCTTCCAATACTAGTTTTTTCTCTTCAGTATATGATGGATGTTCTAATCAATAATAATGTAAATTATGTAGAAAAACTAGAATGAAAAGCTGCACACAAAGTCACTGGAATACCGCTGTATGCCAGCCGAGCATATCTATACAAGGCAATTCATCTTAGCGCCGAACCCCAAACAAGGGAAACATTAAAAACAAAAAGGAAAATTCTCTAATATGAGTATGTCCACATAAAAATCATGCTGATCCTCTCAGTTTCATATATAATCCATTGCAGCATGTGAACCATTTTAATATATTACAACCCTAAAAGGAATTGTGTACCGTCTACTGTAAGACTTATATACGACATCGATATAACAACATGTACAAATCCTTAGTAGAAAGTTTGTAATGTTCAGAATGTTCTTCCAAGTGACAATAAACACTGTAACGTATCAGTGCTTTACCTTGAAGGTTCCAGGTCAATAGACTTCGGTAGTTATGAGATTCTCTCAAAGCAAATCTATCTAAATTCAGCCTAATAAACACGGGTGCTTGTGTTGTTTTACATACAAATCGCTCATCGCGTGTTGTTTGTATGCAATATATTAAAAAACAAAACTCATTTCCCATGTGCCCCCTCCCCTTCCTTTAATCGATATACTCTAAGCCAGACACGTATATGTATAAATACAAGTAATTTTCCATGTTGCCATTACTTATGCTCCGTATGAATGCATTTTTTTTCTTGCCATCATGTGTAATGTTACTGATTTGTGTATTATATATCGATTTCGACAATAAAATATATTTAAACCAATTGTTTGCTTGTATTAACCTGCTTGACTTTCATTTCAAATACCTTTTTTACACACTCCTGCAAGTCGGGGATTGAGAAAAGAGTACACCTGCTGTTACCCAATGCATGTATCGTAAGAGGCGACTGATGTGGGAGCCCCAGCAGAATTGTAGATTTGCTTTTGTGCCCTCTAGTTATAAATCTGCTGCACCCATTGCAATATTTGGGATCTTCGTATTTCTTTCTACTTCGAACTACTTTTTATTTCCTAGCGCCTTGTTTGATAATACCTCACTTTTAGCTTTAATGGTGAACATTAGCCCAGGCGAGGAAGGCAAAGATTTATGTCCCCAGGCCGGGTTATACAAAGTCCTTAAAATGGTAGTTGTTAGCCCCTGCTTAACCTCCAGTATTAAGGGGAATGGCAGCATTGTCAGTATAATGTGAGCGGGCGGGATGATGTGCGGGGTGCCTTCGGTGTGGTATCGCAGTGAGATACAGTAGCACTATCAAGTCGGCATCATATCGGCGTTATCTAAGGAGGCACCAACATACCCTGCCTCTTGCACACACATGTAAGCAAGCATACACAACACACATTGGGACTCGTCCTTGAATAGGTGTAAATAGGAAGTTAAACAAAATTACACCAAACCAAATCCTGCATGATACTTGACGTTCTAATCATATGGGTTGTTACTGTTGTAAAAACTGTTAAATTATGTTTGAAAGATTTTCGTTTCTGGGTATGGAAATCTGTTCAATTGATATGTCGTTTCTGATTGTGTCAGTAACATGTTTTGTACTCGGTCTAAAAATAGCTTTATGTGTGCTCTAAGTTAGTCCATGACTTAGTCTCTAGTTATTTAATTTTGGTGGCCACATATTCCTATTTGGTAAACACGAGTAAAAACGATTTTTTCTGAATCATAAACTCGCGATAACGACTACCTGATGACCTTGGCTGATATACGCTGATCATCGCCTAATCACGATGTCATCACGTGTTATATTGTCGCCATGACATTACCTTATGACAATGAACCTGTATCTGTTAATCATCACTTGTTTTAATGCGACTACGATTTAAGATCATGTGACCTCTTCATATTACCTGTTGACCACTTATGTTTTAGCCACAAAATATTTGCCAGCAACAAGTGGCTGATAATCCGATGGGAAAGACTTGTTATCTGTGACCACGGATTATGATAGCATAGCAAGTACTTGGATCTGGTTTCCACGATTTAGCCATGCTCGTGATCACAACTTATGATCTTTCTCGGACGATGATCAGCTCAATCAGTAATTATATTGTTTGTGTATCTTAAAAACACAGCTTTTAAATGACTTAAAACTTTCCAAATAGCATAGATTTAGTATAGTAAAACAACAAGCACAATTACGAGTTTATAATTGGTTTATTGACCAAAGTATTATCGTTAAATTGTTATTAAGCTTTTCAGCTTTTAAACTACTACTACCGGTGGAAAAATGTTGTCTGATAAGACCAGTGTGCGGGAAAATAGCTCAATATACGTATTGTATTAACCTCTTAAAGAACAAGTTGATACCAGACTGGCAGATGGCATTTCTATCAAAAGGTGCACATTTCTAAAAAAAAAAAGGATCACCCAAATGTGAACACGGCGTTTTGGCTTTGCATGCCATTTCAGCTAGTCAATCACAGGTACTAGCTCGTCTGTCAACACACCCATAATATAATCAACGTTGCTAACTCTGGCCCCCTAGTCAAATGGCCGCGTTCAAGAAAACATGCGATTTTGTCATAACCGTTCATAGTTTAACGCAGGGAATAGTCTAGATCGACAGGAATTTTTTTTTCTTCAATTCGATGTATGATTTACCAAATATCATACAGTGTAATTTTCGGTAGACTTCATGAAACATCGAAAAACGCCAAACACACCGCCTGCTCGCTGTTCAATGTCAATACATTTTTTTCTACAATAGAAAACAAGCTTACTTGTATGATTGTTCATTCCTCAACATATCATGTCGGACACCCAAGTCCAGTGTACAAGCTAGTCAGGCTGACAGTCGGAATTCTGAACGGAGAAAGTCATTTGTGACCTCAACGCTGATTGGTCCGTTATTTACAAGCCAATTCAAATAATGAATTTGACTATTGACCTCAATCAGACTTTAAGTTTTATCGAGTTAACTCCAGCAAGTCACAGTCTTGACCTGGACATCGAATGTGACTTTTGACCTAAATGTAACTTTGACCTCGGCCATATGGACCCAATTGTAGTTTGCAATTTTCTGTCCTGCCATCCTACACATACACGTTCCCTTTAAATTTCATTGAGATATCTTCAGTGAAATGAAAGTATTGGCATACACAATGAATTTTAACTACATGTGTTATACCTTGATGTGATATAAATCTTTAACGACATATCAATTATGGTTTACAACAGACCGTCTTCCAATCGAACATTTATTCCTTAAATTTCATTAAGTTATCTGAGTCAAAATGTTTGTCCCATAAGATGAATTTGACCTTTAAAACCAATGTGACCATAACCTTGGCTGTACTGACCCCAAAATAGTATGCTACACATTGCCTTATCGTCCTACAAATATCCCTTAATTTGTCATAGAAGTATCTTCAGTAGGTCAAACGTTATGACTCATACAATCATCAACTTGACCAAAAATGTGTAAAATTGAACTAAATTTGAACATGATTTTTACTCTATTGACTCTAGAGTAGTACCCTACTCACCGTCTTCCATCCTACATATATCCCTTAAGTGTTAATGAGAAATCTTTAGTGAAAAAACTTATGACTCAGGGAAGAAATTGACCTTTAACCTTAATGTGACCTTAGTCTTGAGTTTACGGACTTCAGAGTGGTATGTGACACACCGCCTTGCCATTAGATATATATATCACCAAGATATTTTTAGGTATCTTTAGCAAGTCTGAAGCCCAGACAATGAATTTGGAAGGGTAAAAATATGTATGACTATACCATAAATCTATTGGATAAGAAGATACCCAGAAAGAATTAACAAATTTGCGGTTATTGAGTTTTTCAGTATTAGTTGGTATATTGTGACTTGCAATATACAAAATGTATAATAAAAGTTCAGATTGCGACATTTCAAATAGTTGCGAGCTATATGTTTGTACGGTTAGGAGAAAGAGTGCTACATGTAAGATATTTCAGAATACTTTGATCCTGCAGAAATTATATTATTTTCACTTTAGGAAGGTAGAAAGGTTGAAAATATTGAAATTTTACAAAAATCAGTATTGTTCCTTTTTTAACCCTCAAAAACAGCAGATTTATAGAATCACTGTGTTTTATAGTCATACATATGATCAAAAAAGAAATTTAGTAGAGGAAATTATATAAAATTTAAGGGTTTTGCAATTTATTATGTTATTGGCTTTTTGCTATCAATATCCACTTCGGTTTATTTTTTAATTTCTAATCGTATAGATATTTTAGCACTGAGGCAAGATTGACTTTAACACCCACATTTGTATTTAAGTTTTGTTAATGTATTCTGACTCTATTATGTCCTTTATCGAATGCTAAGTAAAACAGTTTTTACATTGGTACGGGGATCCTTAAGCTTGATAGCTAAAGAGACATCAACCCAAAATAAACGGAGACATTGAGCCATCTTTTCTTTTTGAATAAAGATTTTACGTTTGTCCAGATAAGAAAGGACATTGGGCGTAACTGTATGCGAGAAGACATTTTGATTTGATGTACGTTTGGGTATTTAGGCATACCTGCATATTTCTCCGAATAAGAACCATGCAACTCGACCGACCAAGAAGGAGAGTTTTCAACTGGTTAAATACTTTGCACCTGTGCTGAAGTATGCTTCTTTATCAATTGTAATTCGTGTTTGTAACCAAATGTACTTTTTTTTCTGTGTTTTACCGCTTTATTTTACTGTAAAGGTATGTGGACATGTATAACTGTAGTGTTTTATTGGACCTGTATGTTCCCCTTAAACTCGATAAGTTCAGATATAGTTCATATGGTTCCAAAGTTGTAGCTGTAGACAAGTATACGTGTCCCCCGTTTAAATAGGTTCCTTGTGTTGTCTTTTGCTTCACTCATTGGTGACTGTTTGAACATATTTTCATGATATACTATGTCCATTCCTTGGATACGCTTCGGTTCTGGTTGAGGTACCTAGACGGAGAAATGAGCTGAGCGGTTTCTGTGATAGTTATATGTGGCTAAATGTGCTATGACTAATTAAAAAGTGCTTAATATGTTCCGGGTAAAGCCTGATGTCTGAACTGTTACATGATATCATATTTTTTACATTGCCTAATACTGTAAAAACTCGATATTTAAATTAAAAGTGATGACCTTGGAACCCTCGTTCACCCGCCATATTCTTATTCTTTGAATTGAGTTTTGACATTCCTCTCCTCCTATCTACTGTTAATACTGATTACATGTATCATTTCCAAGTTTATCCTTGTCATTATGTCGGAAGAAACTGTTTTCAATGTCAAGGAAAGAGTCCAGACTCCCCAGAACATTACTGATCCCTCGATGATCCAGGAAGTTGTTTCCCAGCTATTAAGTAACACGCTGATAAAGGACACACTAGTATCATGTATTGTTATTACCCCTCTGCAACAACGTGTTAAGTCTTTGGAGAATAAGGTTGATGATCTTGAGCAGTACTCAAGAAGGAATGATGAAAGGATTGTTATCCGCAACCAGCAAGGGAGAAAAACTCAGGTTACCACGTTGGATGAACTGTCAACATACCCCGATCCCCCTCCTATTGTTGATAATCGCGAACGGCCCATACATGGTCATCGTACGGATACTGAGAGGCCTAAGTCAAGTGACTCTAGTGTACCATCCGAAGGGAAAATATCATCCTCTTCCACTTCTAGCAAATCCGGTACATGCCCCTACGTGACCAACCGATCATCTTCATCGAAACACTGACTTATAGACTTTCATTCCATATATATGTATTATATTATTAAGCAATTTA